AAGAAGAAGAAGAAGAAGAAGAAGAAGAAGAAGAAGAAGAAGAAGAATTACTAATTGTAATGATATCTTGTTAATACCTGGGTGTTGAAAAGTGAGACTCCATTTAGGCCTCACTATTGAAGGATTCCCAGAAAAATACGGCATCCTTCACTTAATCCTCCAAGGAAAAATGGAAGGCAAACGTGGTCCAAGCAGAAGAAGAACATCAGGGCTTCAAAATCGAAGGGACCGGTTTGGACAAAACTCAACAGCCTTTTTTCGTGTGGCTGTTGATAAAAATAGGATCGCCAACATGATCGTCAACGTCCGATGACAGATACATGGCACAAGAAGAAGTTCCTTTTCGCTCTACCATACAGATGGTCTTTGACTTAGAACAGTTTGTTTAGTGACCAAAGTTACACTAGCACTGAAAAAAAGGGACTGATGACCATTTTTCACACCTATGACCATTGCAGCATCCCAACAACTTCCCCAATGAAATTCAGACGCTTGGCAACTGACTCGTATTTACGATGGTCCCAGGGTCACATGGTCCCCTTTTGCGACCTTCGGATGAGCAAACTGAACGGGGAAGCCAGGTTCCTCCGAAACCCTCCATGTGGCTAACTTAACAACTGCAGGGATTCACTTAACGCTGTGGGGGGTGGGAGGGAAACTCACTTAATAAATGTCTTGCTTAGCAACATAAGTTTTGGGCTGAATTTTGGGGGTGATTCCCTTAGCCACTGTGGCAAGGAAGGTTGTAAAATGAGGCAAAGCTCACTTTAAAAATGTCTTGCTTAGCAGCAGAAATCATGGTTGTAAGTGTAGGACTACCTGTACTGATATATAATCCTCTTCCTTTACCTCTAGCGGAGAATCCGGAGCGGGCAAAACTGAAAACACGAAGAAAGTCATCCAGTATTTTGCCAACATCGGAGGCACCGGCAAAGCCTCTGCCCAAGGGCAGGTAAATCGAGCTGAGGTCTATTATCCACTAGCGGTTGGAACCATGGTTAAGTGGTTGTTCTGATAAAACAACCCGACATCCTTAAGCGTTCCAAAATGTTTCTTCTTCTTTACAAATAAGCTAATATAAAGAGAAATCTAGTCAAAACTATTCTGTTCCCTGTTATTATTGTTAATAATAGTGAAAGAGAGAGAGAGAGTGAAATACCACTCACGCATCATCACAAAATCTCCAAAACCATAAAGCCTACAAACTTGAAATTTGGCCCCTATGTTCCTCTTGGCTTCTAGGTGCTCACTAAGGATTTTTCGAAATGACCATCAGAGCAGTAGTATTTCCTATATTATTATGATTATTATGATTATGATTATTATTATTATTATCAACATGCTCTGATGTGAAGGGGTTCTACTCCCCCTCCCCACCTGGAAAGAAATCTCTTCCAAAGGCAAAACACAGAGGAGAGGAGAGGAATTTCAGTTTCACATTAGCACCAAGCAGCTTTTGTACAGAACAGTTGAGCTAAGCCACGCCCAGGCTCCTTGCTGTCTCCTTCTTGCTCACACAACAAATACTGTTTCAGTTTTCAAACAGCCCTCAACTCTCTCACACACTGACAGGATGCTAACCAGATGAATACCGATGGATGCTGGTAGGCAGAGGCAGAATTTTTTCCCCTTATTTTCCTTCCAATCACATAGTTTCATAGCAAAGCACGGGTATCAAGCTAGTTAGTATATATGTTAATATTCTTTTTTGTTCTTTCTTTCTTTTTCTGTAAATGATATGCCCTGGCAATACGCTGCATTCAAAATGTTTATGAAATATATATATATATATATATATATATGTGTGTGTGTGTGTGTGTGTGTGTGTGTGTGTGTGTGTGTGTGTTATTCAGCTTTGTTCGGGTATTTTCCCATGTCATTGTAGTTGTGCTTTTAAAGTTGTAGCAGCCTTTTGACAGCTGAATAACATACATGTAAGTACCCGCGAAAACTTAAGAAAACAAATATATACACACACACACACACACACACACACACACACACACACAAAATGTTTTTGGGGAAGCGAGGATGATGAGGATGGCTTTGTTTTGGGTCAGGGTTCTCTGGAAGATCAAATCGTCCAGGCCAACCCTGTCTTGGAAGCTTTCGGAAATGCCAAAACGACCAGGAACAATAATTCTTCTCGTTTTGTAAGTATTGGATTCTGAAACGGTGCTTTGCCCCATTCTAAACCCCTTTTCCCTATCGTTCCACCGACATCGTCGTGTCATTTGGAAATGACTTTGAGTGACAGGGAGAAGAAGAGCCACCGCCAAGATCATGGTCAGGTAAGAGGTAGACGAGCCCCTAGAAGAAGGAAAGGGACATGGCAAACACCTTCCCTAGTTTCTTGGGCGTGCATAAGCGCACCAATGTGCCTACCGTCCCTGTCCTATTGTTTCTTTTATTTTTATTTTATTTTTCTTATATGTGCCCATTTCATGTATTCATAATTATGTATACACTTTTACTTATTATCTCGTAAACAATTGACAAATAAATAAAATAAATAAATAAATAAAAAATAAAAACGAACAGGAGAGGAGGGGGGCTGAAAGGGCCTTATCAGACTTGCAAGATTAGATTAATTTAAACCTACAATGAAGTAGAGTTAGTTACTTCTGGGTATGCTTCTTATCAACCTTGTTAAATAGACAGCTGATTTTCACACACCTACGTACATTAAAATCAAGATCGTTTTTTTAAAAATTGGAAGCTGTTCTGGTTGTGAATAACGAGAGTCTATTTTTTCTTATTCAGGGTAAATTCATACGAATTCATTTTGGCAGCACAGGAAAACTGGCTGGCGCTGATATTGAGAGCTGTAAGTTTCTAATTTCTCTAAGGACAAACCTCCAGTTCTCAAGTCCTGTGTCCATTTTAGCTGGCATGTGGTTAATAATTATCTACCTACCTACCTACTTAACTACCTACCTACGTATCTATCCATCCATCCATCCATCTCCATCATCTCCATCTCCAAATAAAATTCTAGATTTCATCAGCCAATACTTTGACAAATAAATCAAAACTTCAGAAAAATTTCGGCATTTCCTTGCTTTTAAATCAGAGGTCTCCGCACTTGGCAACTTTAAGACTTGTGGACTTCATCTCCCAGCTAACTGAGGAATTCTGAGAGTTGAGGTCCACAAGTGCTTAAAGTTGCCAAGTTTGAGAACCCCTCTTTAAGTGGATAACAACTTAATTCTTTTAAAAAGTGAAGTGGCTTTTGTTTACATTCTAGATCTCCTGGAGAAGTCTAGGGTCATCTCTCAACAACCTGCTGAAAGAGGCTATCATATCTTCTACCAACTCTTGTCCAACAAGAAGCCTGATCTTGTTGGTAGGGCATTTTTCATGAATTTGTGTGTGTGTGAGAGAGAGAGAGAGACACAGAGAGAGAGAGAGAGAGACAGACAGACAGAGACAGGGAGACAAAGGGAGACAGAAAGAAAGAGAGAGAGAGAAACAGAGAGACAGAGACAAAGAGAGAGAAAGAGAGAGAGAGAGAGAGAGAGAGAGACAGACAGACAGACAGACAGACAGAAAGAAAGATAAACAGAGAGAGAGAGACACAGACAGACAGACAGAGAGAAAGAAAGATAAACAGAGAAAGAGAGACAGACAGAGGTACAGAAAGAAAGATAAACAGAAAGAGAGAGAGACAGCAACAGCAACAGAGACAGAAAGTAAAAGAGAAACAGAAAGAGAAAGAAAGAAAGAAAGAAAGAAAGAAAGAAAGAAAGAAAGAAAGAAAGAAAGAAAGAAAGAAAGAAAGAAAGAAAGAA